ACTGATACACTCATTCCATTTCTACTGTAATGAACGAAAATACGACAAGCCTTCCAGGCTTGTCGCGCAGAAACACGCGCCACCATGTTTACGTGAATGTAGATATTCAACTAAAAACAAACGCATTAATTGTTAGATTATTGCGTATTATTGCAGTACTACAACATGAGTAGAGGGGATACAAGGCTTCTATGGCGTATTCCCTAGGGGACGTACTTACGGTAGTGAGTGGGAAAGAGACGTGTGCGACGTGATCGACGCATAGAAGGATAGAATGAGCATCGAGTAAATTCATTTGATAGATAAGAGCGCGGTGGAATTACAAAAATAACATGTGTGTCATACAGGGTGTCTCATCGTTTAAGAAAAAACATGTACGGGGTGTTTCAAATACGTCAGCGCGTAAAAAATGATATAATAATAATAATGAACGAAAAATCGGATTGAAGAAAAAACATGGCCACAGACATTAAAGCAAAAAACATGTCTGTCATATAGGGAGTCTCATCGTTTCAGAAAAAACATGTACAGGGTGTCTCAAATATGTCAGCGTGGAAAATAGTAGTATAATAGTAATAATGAACGAAAAATTTAATTGAAGAAAAAACATGGCCACGGGCGTTAAAGAAAAAAACCTGGCTGCTGCCATACAGGGTGTCTCATCGTTTAGGAAAATACATGTACAGGGTGTACGTCGGCGCGAAAAATAATGGTATAATAATAATAATGAATGAAAAATCGGATTGAAGAAAAAACATGACGTCACTATGTACAGGGTGTCTCAAAATACGTCATTTAAAAAAAAGTATAACGAGGCTGTATGGTTTTGACGTGTGTACAATGACGTGTGTACAATGTGTCTCATTTAGGAAAAAAAAACATGTCAGGTGCGGGGGCCTAACGTTTTAGCGTGCGATCCCAATGGGAAACGTTGGAAAATGGGGCGATGGGGGTATTCAGCAATGACATTTCAAAATACGTCAGATGCGTCTTTTCGTGTTAGTTGGGAAATGGGGGAGTGGGCGTTAAAGAAAAAAACATGGCTGTCATACAAGGTGTCTCATCGTTCAAGAAAAAAACATGTACGGGGTGTCTCAAATACGTCAGCGTGGAAAATAATGATACAATAATGATAATGAACGAAAAATCGGATTGAAGAAAAAACATGGCCACAGGCGTTAAAGAAAAAACATGTTTGCCAACGTAATGGAAAAAAACATCGCAGCCATACAGGACGTCTCATCGTTTGGGGAAAAACATGTACAGGGTGTCTCAGATACGTCAGCGTGGAAAATAATGATATAATAATAGTAATGAACGAAAAATCGGATTGAAGAAAAAAAAACATGGCCACGGGCATTGAAGAAAAAAACATAACTGTCAACGTAATAGAAAAAAACATGGCTGTCATACAGGGTGGCTCATCGAAAATAAACTGTAGGAGTTCTAAAACTTTTCTTATGAAGATTTACATGGAAAAACGGCTAAGGTTCATTCTGACGTTTTTGATTCCTTTCAAGGTCACGCGTACGGCAGAGAATCGAGCAGCGTTATCGCGGTTTGAAAGATAACGATTCGATCGCGCTTGGAATGAGAACAAATAGGTATACAGGGTATTGAAGAAAAAACATGTACAAGGTGTCTCAAATACGTCAGCGTGGAAAATGATGATATAATAATAATAATGATTGAAAAATTAGATTAAAGAAAAAAACATGGCCACAGGCGTTAAAGAGAAACACATGGTTGTCAATTTCAACGTCACGCGTACGGTAGAGAATCGAGCAGCGTTATCGCGGTTTGAAAGATAACGATTCGAACGCGCTTGTAATGAGAACAAATAGGTATACAGGGCGTCTCATCGTTTGGGGAAAAACATGTACAGAGCGTCTAAAATACGTCAGCGTGGAAAATAATGATATAATAATAATAATGATAGAAAAATTGGATTAAAAAAAAAACATGGCCACGGGCGTTGAAGAAAAAACATTGCTATCATACAGGGTGTCTCGTCGTTTGAGAAAAAACATGTACGGAGTGTCTCAAATACGTCAGCGTGGAAAATAATGATATAATAATAATAATGAACGAAAAATCGGATTGAAGAAAACAACATGGCTGCCATACAGGGTGACTCATCATTTAGGAAAAAACATGTACAGTCTACGTGAAAAATAACGGTAGAATAATAATATTGAATGAAAAATCGGATTGAAGAAAAAAACATGGCAGCGGGGCTTTCAGTGCAGCGTTGAAGGAAAAAACATGAGAGCAACGTGTACATGGGGTCTCATTCAAGAAAAACATGACAGATTAACGAGGCTCTATCGTTTTGACGTGTGATTCTTCAGTGTGTACAGGGTATCTCAATTGAGAAAAAACATGTCGAATTAATGAGGCTCTATCGTTTTAGCGTGCGATCCTAATGGGAAACGTTTGAAAATGGGGGCAATGAGGGTATTTTTCAAATACATTTCAGAATACGTCACATGCGTTTTTCGTTTTTGTGTTAGTGGCGTCAATGTATGGGTGTCTCAAAATACGTCGGCGTTGTTGAATTATAAAAATGAATGAAAAATCGCATTAAAGAAAAAACATGGTTACCAGCGTCAAAGAAAAAAACATGGTTGCCCTCGAGATATACGGGGTGTCTCATCGTTCAAAAAAAACATGATGGTAATGTGTACAGGATGTCCCAAAATGCGTCATTGAAAAACATGACAGTTTAACGGGGCTCTATCGCTTTAAAGTGTGATTCTTAAAAGTGTACAGGGTGTCTCAAAATACATTATTTAAGGAACATGACGGTTCAACGGGATTCTATCGTTTTGCCGTGCGATTCTTCAATATGTACAGGATGTCTCATTCAAGAAAAAGCATGACAGTTTAACGGGGCTCTATCGTTTTAGCATGCGATTCTTCAATGTGTACAGAATGTCCCCAAAATACGTCATTTAAAGAACAGGACAGTTTAACGGGGCTCTATCGTTTTGACGTGCGATTCTTCAATATGTACGGGGTGTCTCATTCAAGAAAAAACATTACAGTTTAACGGGGCTCTATCGTTTTATCATGCGATTCTTCAATGTGTACAGAGTGTCCCCAAAATACGTCATTTAAAAAACATTACAGTTTAACGGGGCTCTTTCGTTTTAGCATGCGATTCTTTAATGTGTACAGGATGTCTCAAAATACGCCATTTAATAAAAAAACGTCGTTTCTGGCTCAAAATCCAATGCTTCTCCTCATGGACCTTGGGGTTTAGTCATTTTAAGACCTCGTAGCGGAACCTTATGGAACACCCAACTCAAGGTAGATGTGACGTGTGTAAGAATTATATATGATATATGATAAGAATTATATATTATTCGGATCATCACGCACAGCACGCTAAATGAAAGGAGAAGAAATGTAGAATTTATCGACAGAGAAAAAACAAAGATTGCGGTCAGAAGGGCACTGAGCCACATTTTCGTTAACCAAGTTGGCATCATCAAAAGGAGTTAACCAGATAAAGGTAAACATAACAGAAAAATTCATAAAGGGTGGTCGTTTGAGAGGAGGAGGATAGGACGATATAATGCGATAAAATGTTCAGTTTTGTCTTGAAAAACGCATTGAAAATTTTTCAAAATTTCGATGCGTTAAAGTAGACAGTTTTGTCATTTGAGTCGCATCGAAAAAAATGCATTTTTCAAAGTCTCATTTCTTCTAAAAACGCATATGATTTGCATTTTGATGCGTCACGGAAAATGATGCAGAAATGACATGAAAATCGCTTCGAAAAATTGTCAAAAATTTAGCGCGATAAAACGTACATTTATGTCGCGATTATCGTATAAAATATTTCGCAAAATCTCAATGCGTTGAAACAGTCAATTCAGGAACTCCAATCGTTTCGAAAAAACGTTATTTTTGCCACACATTTTCCAAACAAATAACGCATGACCGAACGATCGAAAATCGTGTATGGTATGAACTAGAACCGATTTTTCGGTTCCAATCAATTTTCGTTTGAAAATACAGACTATCAGCCAATAAAATTCACCTCAAAATTACTATGCAAATTTAGTATTCGAAATATCGAAATCATTTCTTTCATAGCATTATTTAGGATGTTTCGCTAATCAAAATTTTATGCATATCAATTGCTTTCAGAAAATGCTACATATTTTCAAAAAATAGGAATATCGTCTAACAGAAAGGTAGTGATCTGTTTGTAGTAGAAACAGAACTTGAATTTCTTTGGACGTGCTATTAAGAGAAAAAGGTTCTTATGATATAGAGCAAGGAATTTATGTGAAGTTTATTACGTTGAAAATACTTTTGTGACAATACCTGATGTTGACTAAAACAAGGCATAATACGCGTATACAGAGTGACTTAGTGTTTCAAAATACGATGATATAATAAATGTGATATTATTATTAATATTATAAATTAGAAACAATTTTGTTGAAAAATTTGAAAATGAAAACTTACCTTGTATCGCAAGGTTCATTCATTATTATAAACGCTCGTATAAGGTTGATGAAAACAACTCATATACATAAAATATATTCGAAATAAAGAAATATGTTTGTATGTCAATTAATATTGAATAGGAGTGCCTAACGTGTGATCCAACATGTCAGAAGGACACTTGTCTTTGTTAACCAAGTTACTATCATCAGGAGAAGTCAACTAGATGTAGATAAAAATAGCAGAAACATTCATGTAGGATGTCGTTAAAGAAAAAAATAAATAATGATCTCCTGACATTTGTAATTTATTTTGTAATCGAAAAAGGGAAAAATGAAATTTTTCAAACCATTCTAATTTAAATCGGTAGAAGAAGGCTTCATGATATAGAGCGAGGAATATAGGTCAAATTCATCATCAAACGGCTTGGAAAAATTAAATATTGAGTTGTAGATATTTTGATAGTATCTTGATAGGCTACCATTTAATTTCCGCTCAAAACTGATATTTGAAAGAAAATAAAAAAAAAACAAACACAGTGAATTTAAAATATTTTATTAATTTTTGTCTTCACCGTGGGTGTTGGTAGTTGTTGGAGGTTGGCTCAAGTTCGGGGAGGCAGCAGGAGGTGGCGGCTCAGCTGTTTCTTGTTTCCCGTCAGAGGTGGGCTTGGGTTTGGGGGAAGAGGTAGACTCCGGTGGAACGTATTCTTCTTGCCCCGTACAAGTGCAGAATCCCCACCACTCGGGGCAAAAACTGCATCTTGCATTATCGATGTTCAATCTGCAAACATTCTGACATCCATAAATTGATATTATAATTGAATTTTAGAAAAACTCACGAAAAATCTACCTCCTCATCCGAAGATGAATAATATTTTTCTTCTTCCCCCATCGAATAATACACCTTGTCATTTCTGAAAAGCAATGATTGATCAATATTTGAAAGGTAATGAAAAAATAATCACTTACGAAGAATTATTTGTGTTTTCCATAATCTGCAATGAAAAAGAATACAATGTTATTGATATTAGTGAAAAAGTAGCATTCTTAAATAAAAATCTTTTATCAAGATTTTAAAAATGAAAATTCGAAGGATAGAAGGTATATAAAATCTAAGGTTACCACATGTTACTTTTTTTTAGTGAAAAGTTTACCTGTTAAGGGCGTATTATGCCTTGTTTTAGTCAATATCAGGTTTTGTCACAAAAGTATTTTCACCGTAATGAATTTGACGCAAATTTCTTGCTCTATATCATAAAAACCTTTTTCTCTTAATAGCACGTCCAAAGAAATTCAAGTTCTGTTTCTATTACAAACAGTTTACTACCTTTCTGTTAGACGATATTCCTATTTTTTGAAAATATGTAGCATTTTTTGTAAGCAGTTGATGTGCATAAAATTTTGATTAGCGAAACATCCTAAATAATGCTATGAAAGAAATGATTTCGATATTTCGAATACTAAATTTGCATAGTAATTTTGAGGTGAATTTTATTGGCTGATAGTCTGTATTTTCAAACGAAAATTGATTGGAACCGAAAAATCGGTTCTAGTTCATACCATACACGATTTTCGATCTTTCTGTCATGCGTTATTTGTTTGGAAAATGTGTGGCAAAAATAACGTTTTTTCGAAACGTTTGGAGTTCCTGAATTGACTGTTTCAACGCATTGAGATTTTGCGAAATATTTTATACGATAATCGCGACATAAATGTACGTTTTATCGCGCTAAATTTTTGTCAATTTTTCGAAACGATTTTCATGTCATTTCTGCATCATTTTCTGTGACGCATCACGATGCAAATCAAATGTGTTTTTAGAAGAAATGAGACTTTGAAAAATGCATTTTTTTCGATGCGATTCAAATGACAAAACTGTCTACTTTAACGCATCGAAATTTTGAAAAATTTTCAATGCGTTTTTCAAGACGAAACTGAACATTTTATCGCATTATATCCTCCTAGATCCTCGTTACCACATTTCTTTCTCAAATGACCCCTCTATATGAATTTTTCTGTTATATTTACCTTTATCTGGTTAACTCCTCCTGATGATGCTAACTTGGTTAACGAAAATGTGGCTTAGTGCCCTTCTGACCGCAATCTTTGTTTTTTCTCTGTCGATAAATTCTACATTTCTTCTCCTTTCATTTAGCGTGATGTGCGTGATGATCCGAATAATATATAATTCTTATCATATATCATATATAATTCTTATACACGTCACATCTACCTTGAGTTGGGTATTCTACAAGGTTCCGCTACGAGGTCTTAAAATGACTAAACTTAAGGTCCATGAGGAGAAGCATTGGATTTTGAGCCAGAAACGACGTTTTTTTATTAAATGGCGTATTTTGAGATATCCTGTACACATTAAAGAATCGCATGCTAAAAGGATTGAGCCCCGTTAAACTGTAATGTTTTTTAAATGACGTATTTTGGGGACATTCTGTACACATTGAAGAATCGCATGCTAAAACGATAGAGCCCCGTTAAACTGTAATGTTTTTTCTTGAGTGAGACATCCCGTATATATTGAAGAATCGCACGTCAAAACGATAGAGCCCCGTTAAACTGTCCTGTTCTTTAAATGACGTATTTTGGGGACATTCTGTACACATTGAAGAATCGTATGCTAAAACGATAGAGCCCCGTTAAACTGTCATGCTTTTTCTTGAATGAGACATCCTGTACATATTGAAGAATCGCTCGGCAAAACGATAGAATCCCGTTGAACCGTCATGTTCCTTAAATAATGTATTTTGAGACACCCTGTACACTTTTAAGAATCACACTTTAAAGCGATAGAGCCCCGTTAAACTGTCATGTTTTTCAATGACGCATTTTGGGACATCCTGTACACATTACCATCATGTTTTCTTTAAACGATGAGACACCCCCGTATATCTCGAAGGCAACCATGTTTTTTTCTTTGACGCTGGTAACCATGTTTTTTCTTTAATGCGATTTTTCATTCATTTTTATAATTCAACAACGCCGACGTATTTTGAGACACCCTGTATACATTGACGCCACTAACACAAAAACGAAAAACGCATGTGACGTATTTTGAAATGTATTTGAAAAATACCCTCATTGCCCCCATTTTCAAACGTTTCCCATTAGGATCGCACGCTAAAACGATAGAGCCTCATTAATTCGACATGTTTTTTCTCAATTGAAATACCCTGTACACATTGAAGAATCACACCTCAAAACGATAGAGCTTCGTTAATCTGTCATGTTTTTCTTGAATGAGACCCCCTGTACACATTGCTCTCATGTTTTTTTCTTCAACGCTGCACTGAAAGCCCCGCTGCCATGTTTTTTCCTTCAATCCGATTTTTCATTCAATGTTATTATTCTACCGTTATTTTTCACGTCGACGTATTTTGAGACACCCTGTACATGTTTTTTCCTAAATGATGAGTCACCTTGTATGGCAGTCATGTTGTTTTCTTCAATCCGATTTTTCGTTCATTATTATTATTATATCATTATTTTCCACGCTGACGTATTTGAGACACTCCGTACATGTTTTTTCTCAAACGACGAGACACCTTGTATGATAGCAATGTTTTTTTCTTTAACGCCCGTGGCCATGTTTTTTTTTTTCTTCAATCCAATTTTTCTATCATTATCATTATTATATCATTATTTTCCACGCTGACGTATTTGAGACGCCCTGTACATGTTTTTCCCCAAACGATGAGACGCCCTGTATACCTATTTGTTCTCATTCCAAGCGCGTTCGAATCGTTATCTTTCAAACCGCGATAACGCTACTCGATTCTCTACCGTACGCGTGACCTTGAAATTGACAACCATGTTTTTTTCTTTAACGCCCGTGGCCATGTTTTTTTCTTTAATCCAATTTTTCAATCATTATTATTATTATATCATCATTTTCCACGCTGATGTATTTGAGACACTTTGTACATGTTTTTTCTTCAATACCCTGTATACCTATTTGTTCTCATTCCAAGCGCGATCGAATCGTTATCTTTCAAACCGCGATAACGCTTCTCGATTCTCTACCGTACGCGTGACCTTGAAAGGAATCAAAATCGTCAGAATGAACCTTAGCCGTTTTCCCATGTAAATCTTCATAAGAAAAGTTTTAGAACTCCTACAGTTTATTTTCGATGAGCCACCATGTATGACAGCCATGTTTTTTTCTATTAGGTTTATAGTTATGTTTTTTTTCTTCAATGCCCGTGGCCATGTTTTTTTTTTCAATCCGATTTTTCGTTCATTACTATTATTATATCATTATTTTCCACGCTGACGTATTTGAGACACCCTGTACATGTTTTTCCCCAAACGATGAGACGTCCTGTATGTTTTTTCCATTACGTTGGTAAACATGTCTTTTCTTTAACGCCTGTGGCCATGTTTTTTCTTCAATCCGATTTTTCGTTCATTATCATTATTATATCATTATTTTCCACGCTGACGTATTTGAGACACCCCGTACATGTTTTTTTCTTGAACGATGAGACACCTTGCATGACAGCCATGTTTTTTTCTTTAACGCCCACTCCCCCATTTCCCAACTAACACGAAAAGACGCATCTGACGTATTTTGAAATGTCATTGCTGAATACCCCCATTGCCCCATTTTCCAACGTTTCCCATTGGGATCGCACGCTAAAACGTTAGGCCCCAAAACCAAAAATCACTGTGTGATTTAATATACATAAAATTGAATTGACATCAAGTGATGCAACCCCTTGGTTGCCAACTGTGGTAAATAATGACATTTGACAATTTGACATTTGTTAATGAATAAATAACCTATCTTTCTGAGTTTCTTCTGCATTTTCATTTTTGGGACATAATTGGGACAGTCCATCTTATATTTCTTCATAGCTGATTCTTCATTCTGAAGCCCCAACTTCATATAGGACGACTGGAAACCTTTTTTCGGCCATATTCTGAAAATCAGTTTCTCATTTACAAAAAAATGAAAATGCAGAAGGAACTCAAAAAGATAGGTTATTTATTTATTAGCAAATGTCAAATGTCATTATTTAACCGCAGTTAGCTACCACGGGTCGCATAACTTATTGAATCTTTAGTGTCAGTGTTTAATATTTTCAATCGCTAATACCGTTTAAGTTGTTATGGTTATGAGATAAAACTGATCATAATCATATGTAAATTTGCAGACTTTGAAATATATTCCCAATTTCGAAAATCTTCGAATCTTGTCATAAATAACTTCCAACTCAAATATATTTTGAATATTTTTTTTTGTACCTTTACCTTATTCGTTGAATATTTGTATTGGTTTACTTATTGAGGATGGAATAAACGAAAACTTTTTTCTTTTTTATTTCAAGGTTACGTAAAGTTCGATATTTCCATAGGAAACACGTATACGTTTTAATTTTAAAATCGAGTTCAAATTGTGGACTATTGTCAAATTTGGATATTTCAAAAAGAGAAGAAACGAAAAATTTATTTCGCTTTTGGAAATATTTGAGGACCACATCGATTATGTGAAAGAATAAAAAAATACAGACATGTTTTCCATTGGCTTTCTTAGATCAAAGGCACAGATTTTTCTCTTTTATGCTCAAGGACAACGGAACGATTTCTACTATTTTATTTATCATTCTTTATAAGCCAAGTAATCTGTCTATGGTTTGAATTATGATGTTCAAATGAAATGATGGTTGGCAATATAGCATCGACAATCGACATCGACAATAGTCTTTTTATCTCATTCTCAATCAGTCTCAATCTTCTGTTTATTGTGATGGATAGGGTCAAATCTTAGACAAGGATAATCTAAGGGTCAAATCGCCAAAAATAAAATGTTTAGAACCATGTTTCATTAAAGTGTCATCATTTTTTGCGAATGAATTAGATAGTTCTTTGAATATATTTTATAATTTTTCTTTCATCATTCTGTGCTTTTTACGATTGCTAGAAAGCAATTATTGCGACAAGTACATGCACACTTAAAATTTCTGTGAATCGGTGGTACTTGCCAGTTTGTTTGGCCTTTGAACACATTAGGAATATAACGAGTTAATTTGATCTTTGATTCATCGTGCAGGACATTTATATTTTTATTAGTTGTGATTGTAATTATTGTTTTGTGACGTGGCAATAGTGAACACAAGAAGAAAGCAGAAGAAAGACTTGTATTATCTTTGTATGGAACATTCAACAATAATAAGTACTTTTATAAAATGATGTATTAACTGTTGGACATCAGAAATTGTGATACTAATTTACTTGCCAAACAATCAGGATGAATCCAGTGGAACAGTATCATTCAAGTGAGAGTGATGATGATGATCATGATGAATTTGAGGATGCAGAAGATACTCCAATTGAAAATGATATGACTATAGATCGAGCTTTAGCTGAATCGCAAAGAGCTATCAATTACTTTTTCAATAACCAGTTCAACGAAGCCAAAGATTTGATGACTCCTTACTCAAATTCGAGTATGTACCATTCCCTCGGGTACTCCATATTTTTGTTTATGGAAGCTATTCTCACATTTGAACCAGAGGCAACTGTAGCAGCATCAAAAGCTTTGAAAAATTCACTGGGTGTTTGCAACAAATCCAGAAGAAAGAACACCATAGGAGAATCTATTGGAAAAATTGTTAAACGTGCCCATTTTGACCAGTATACAGAATTAGAGGCTCATGCTGAGCTCTGCCATGCAGAAAGTTTGTTGTTGAAAGCTATGCTCACTTTCATGGAGGATGAAACACTTTCAAGTTTCATCAAGGCTGGATTGAAAATAAGATCTTGTTTCAATTCATATAAGGACTGCCGCCAAATTCTTTTGAAAAGAGATTGGCACGGAGACAATTCAAAAAACCATTTTGAAAGTGGTGTAAGGATGGGTGTGGGAGCTTTCAATTTAATGATTTCAATGTTACCCTCAAAAATTGTCAAACTTCTGGAATTCATTGGATTTTCTGGAAACAAACAAAATGGTCTAAATGATCTTACTATTGGATGTAAGTTGAATGGTTTAAGACAACTTATGTGTATAATGACCATGTTGGGATATAATTTGGTGGTTTTGCCTGTCCTTAGTCATAAGGAGGGAGACATGGAAATGTGTAAAGAAATTATCGATGACCAGTTGAAGAAACATCCAGAGAGTGTGTGGTTCCTATTTTTCCAAGGCCGGGTAAATTTATTATTTGGTGAACTACAAGCCAGTCAAGAGATGTATACAAGGTCATGGAAATCTCAGAATATATGGCCACAATTCCATCACATCTGCTATTGGGAACTGGTGTGGGTGCATTGTTTGAAAACAGAATGGAGGGAAGCTCTGTATTACTGTACACAGTTGATTGAAAAAAGTAAGTGGTCTAGAAGCTTGTATAGTTATCAGAAAGCAGTTATAATGTGTGCTCTCAAAAATGAGTTGACACAATCCGAATTGGATGAAATTAATCAACTCATGAGGGATGTTCCTAAATACAAGCAGCGAATTGCTGGCAAATCATTGCCAATGGAAAAATTTGCAATGAAAAGGGCAGCACGATATTTTAATCAAAATTGTAGCTTGGCTTTACCAGTAATTGAACTAATGTTTTTGTGGAACTTATTTAAAATATTTAAAAAAAAATCAGTTGGTACTGAAATACTAAAATTGATTGAAAAATCTCTTGCAGACATTGATTCTAACACAAAGCCATCCAAATATGATTATGATAATAAAGCATTAATTTTACTTTTGCAAGGATCATGTCTCAGAAATATGGGTAGTCCTTTACTTGCATTAGAATGTTTAGAATCTGTGATATCTATGCAAAAAAATTTGGTAGAAGATCATTTTATTATTCCATATGCAATTCTTGAACTGGCTCTTGCCGAATGGCAACAGGGTAATAAGGATAAGGCAATTTTAGCTCTAGAAGATGCCAAGAAAAACTACACGGGGTACTCTTTAGAGTCTAGATTGCATTTTAGAATACATACATCATTGAGCGAATTTAAAGCAGAAATGAAACTCTGTTAATTGACTTTATTAAAGGCAAATTGTTGAGGTGTATAGAAAAAGATGAGTTGCCTAAAATATTTAAACGGCGAAATACATTTTTCGAAATTCATTGAATGTTTTGTAAAATTTAGTGCCCTTGCTAACTAACCCCTATAGAGTTTGGTAGTCATCGAGACTAATGTATGTTGTGGAATAACAAAGTTAGGTGTATCTTTTCTAGAGATCAATATTTCTACAAGGAACAACAAAATTAATTTTCTCTCACACCCCACAAAAAACTATATTCTATAATATCTAATAATAAAAATAATAGAAATCTATTTTTTGTAGTAGAATGACTATCTGGTGATATTGATTATATCCTCTATATATGGTATTTTGGGATATCCTGGGATATGGTTGTTGATAAAGTAGAAGAGAGTAGAATACCTTTATACAAAAAGTAGGAAATATAGTAACTGAAGAATTATCTCAATATTTCTTTACAAATGGCATAGTCAACCAGATGACCATCTGGTGATATTGATTATATCCCCTATATATGATATTTTGAGATATCCTAGGTCTTAGAGTATCTCAAAATACCATATATTTATAGGGGATATAATCGATATCACTTGATGGTATTTTTCTACTACATTTTTTAATAATTAATTTGTTTCGTCGAAGGAAATTGATGTATTTATTGATAAAATAAACTATATTAAATGAAAATTTCAATATATTTTAATTATAATAATTGTGAACGAAATGTAGCTGTTCAAAATATTTATTTATAATTATCTCAACCTTATCAGGAAATAGGTACAATTAAATTGTTCTATATTGTAGATTCTGTAGTAGATTTTCAAATGAATGGTTATTTATTATTTTACAGTTCAAAATGTCATGCTATTTAAATGGTTCGTTAAAAATATTGTTGCAAGAGTACCCTAATTTATTTTTCATTAAATTTATAATCAGCCTTTACTGCATTAAAAAAGTTTTGAGTTATATGCGTATAAACTATTTGAGCTTTTTTAATCTAAGAGCCTCCTCGATATTTTAAGTTTGTAGTATTTTTATAATCTATACAGGGCTACTCCAATTGAAGAAGGAGATCTTGTAAATGGTAAGAGATATAAGGCAAAGTCGTCTGTTTCTCAGTTGTCTATTGAATGATAACAAAAAAAATCGACTCTAGCTCTATTGATTCCGAAGATTTAGGGAAAAATCGAAAAATTTCAACTTTCATTTCTAGCTGTAGCTTCTTAGCCACCCTCAATTTTGGAGGGTGGCTGTTTTTAACAATCATTATTTCATTAACAATATTCATATAATATCAAGATATTTAATTGGATTCCCTATTCTGAAGAGTTTAGATAAATTGATGATCATACAAATAAATAATTTTTTTACGGTCCTGATGATTAAAAAGAAACAGCTCATTATAAGGCCGTCACTTTTTATAATGAACTACTAGAATCATTCAACCAGCTAGGAAGTTATACATTACAAAATGAAAAAGCCTCTTACTAGATAAGTACTATTATAGTTTCTAAGAATGTTTAGGTCATAATCTTTGAAAAGAAAACATTGAAATCTAGATCTGTGAATTTATTTTTATATAAGTGAGTATTAGTAAGTTTACATAAGTGTATACAAGTACACACAGGTGCATAAAGAATGGGAGCCTTGAAATGTTAACAGATTTTGGATCTTCAGAAACTTGAATTTTTAGTCTGATTTTGATCATTTAATTTTTCTAATATATGGAACGAAATTTATCTCGGATTACTTCACATCGAACAAATTTCCTAACAGGGCCCAATTCATACATATTACGCAAGAGAAAACAAAGTTATGTTTCTGTCATCTATCATTTGTAATTCATCACATCCTGTGATGAAATACAACTTTTGAATGACACTTGGAACCATCCTGTATGCAAGCTTGCTTCATTCCCTATACATTTTTCATTAATATTGATATCACGATTCGTTTCAAATTTATGAATCATTGAAAGAGTTGTGCATTTTCTCTGTGTATTCTAAGAAATCATCAAGATGCAAATTCTATTGTATCCTATGCAAATCTTATTGAGCATATCTGGAACTATTGTATACGTGTGAGAAGTAGAAAATCTGGTTAATGTGAATTAAAGTGGGATACATTTTCTCCCATTTATTACAAAAATCATCAAAATAAGGCTGAAAATGAAAAAGTTGATCAATATCATAATTTGCTTTATTTCAAGGTGGCTTTTGTGTATTTATGCAAAGTTTAATTTATTTTATTTCAAGTGACACAATATTTCACTGTGTTTAAGAAAAATGAGCTGGTGTTGACTTTTGTCTATAAATAGATTTCTCTTTCTCAATTTGAAACGTATAAAAAGTTCCTGGGGAATTTTGAGTATTATTCGAATAAGAAAAAAATTTATATTGAAGATTTCAACAGTGTCTTTGAAATAAAGCGAGAAATAAGTCGGAATCTTCATCACTGGTTTCTGGATTATACAACTTCTCTCAGTTTTCAATTAGAAGATTTGAATTTCTTCCCAAATCGAGGTCTTTTTCATTCAAATTCTGAAAGTTGTATAATGTGAGAAAACTTCACTGGCAATATTAGAGGTTTGTGACACTTCATGTTTTATCAATTCAAAAGTGTATGGTTAGTCAAAGAACTTTTTTGAGAATCAGCTGTGGTATATAAAATATGTATTGCTTCTATTCAAGTAATTATTAAGACCTTGACATTGTAGACTGAAATATTGCTACAAAAACTGAAATTTCAAAATCTTTGGATGATTTTAAGAAACATTCTTCATATGAACATAGGTCTACAACCGCTTTATTTCTGGGCTACAAGATGTTGGAATTTAACAAAAAAATACGTTCACCCCCTAATATCTAATTGTCCACATATTTTCTCACAAAAATGATCCCTTGCCCAAATGAAAAGTTAATTTACATCCGACCCAATCTCTTGTCTTATCAAGAGACGATTTTTCTACAGAAAAATCTCCTATCGTTCCTTTCGACATAAGGCAACACGAGAGAATCTTTTGTCTAGGTGGTAATACTGAAAAATGTATTGATAACGATTCTTTAAATTACAGTTATCTACACGTCATCCACTACAACCGTTGAATGAAAAGTTTCCTTCCTTTCATAATGAAAATTCATTTTGTAGTTTTTTAAATAAGATATGAAAATGAAAATTCTCCATAAACTATTATTGTTAATCAATTGGAGAAATTTCTGCTACCGCAGTCGTCGGTTGATTGGTCAAACCACCAACACTGACATTAAAACTTGGCAAGTTGACTTGGGTGTCGCACCAGTAGGTCGCTCCACTTATGTCTCGCTTGCGTTTACGCAGTTATTTTCATAAAGTACCTTGTTTTCTTGGTTATTCACATTTTGTCCTCAATCGTGGACCGCCTGCTCGGTACTGACGGTGCCCAATATGCTGAAACAGCTGTCTATCGGTGGCAATTAAATTGAAATCAATGTAGGAATGATCAGAATAGTACTTATCTATTTATTTTATATATCTTAGTGACTGAAGAAATGTACAGTAAAATGGATTAACAGGGTCTCTCAGTCAAAAAATCAAAACTCTGCTCTACTTTGCCAAGCTTTTGCTTCTAATGGGAAGCTTCTTCAGGGCCTATAATTTATTGAATTGTGTTTTTTTGCCAATGAATAACATTACAAATCATACTTACAGTAAAACTGAGTAAAAACCAATAAATTGAACATATAAATCGACGAAAGAAAGTTAAACATTAATGGATTTTTTTGGTTTGACAAATGTCATACCTTCACATAAATGTCATTTTTCAATGGTATCATGATTTGATAATCGTTGACTCTAAAGGGAGAATTGATTGATACAATTTTTATTATTATTATGTTTTTTGGTGTAGTTCCAATAAGTTACTGTATATACTGCTGAGATTATCAATGTCAGTTACTAAGATTCTCAACTTTAAATAACAATGGGGTTCTTCGAAGAGATCGAACTCGACCACGGTTTCCAGACAGCAGAGCAATGAAGGAATGAAGGAATACAAACAAGAAACTGGCATCATATCGCAACAGAAGAATTTTCCTCCTTCGATGCAGAAAAAACAATGTGATACCTTCACATATAAAAAATAATATGAAAAATATAAATATCCTTTTCAATTCTACAAATGGTAAAAATTCTCATGACATTCATAATTTCATTGACAACTTGAAGAAAAAAGTATTGAATCTTGAAATTAAAGTCACACATAATGATTTGAAAAATTTAGAGAAACTTTCGGATAAACAAACAAAATTTGTAACAGAATCAATTCCTTTTAATATTTGCCTAGAATTTGAAAAACCACAAACTGTCAAATACAATAAAATTTTCAATGACATGAAAAATAAAAATATCGATAAACTTCGTATACTCAAATGTAATTCAAAATCAGATATTAAAACTAATGAAAATTGGATACAAAATTTATCATATATCATTATACCAGAAGATATAAAACATTTTCTTGCCTTAGGTTTCAATTTCAGCTTATCACCAACTACCAAAGAGGTGTATATACCAAATTTATTTTCAGATATTGAAAACTTGATAACTGGGTTTTGTGATAGCAAAAAGAATCTTTTCAGAGCGAAAATAACAAATATTGTAACTAACTTTTTCCAAAAAGCTCATGATAATAAAAATTTTCTTAATTTCCTATTTTAAAAAAACAAAAAAATTGAAGAATCCTCCAGAATTGATACTTACAAGATCTGAAAAGGCAGGGTGACAGTGATTATGAAAAAATCTGATTACATTGAGAAATCTCTTGAGATTATTAATGATAGTGATTTTTATGTTGAACTTAATAGAGATCCTGTTTTAACAATACAACAAAAGGCAAATAAAATCATTACAGATTTGAAAAAATGAAAAATGATATCAGAAGATGAAGCAAAAATGTATATGATTGATAATTCTACATCACCCAAATATTATAGACTTCCTTATGGACTTGACACCCATTATTTCTTCCGTTGATGCTCCAAATAGCAAAATTGCCCAAATGGTCACTAAAATTCTCACTGATACATATAATTATGAAAATGAATTCTATATTGAGGATTCTTTCGATTTTTCCGATTTTATAAATGAAAAATCATTACCTCCAGGTTATATTCTGATCATCCTAGATGTAATTTCACTGTTCAGCAATTTACCTATGAATCTAGTGGAGAAAAGTATTATCAAAAAATGGAATGATATAAATAAAAAATGTTCAATAACCCAAAAAAAATATTGAAATAATTGATTTCATCTTCAATCCAAGTTATTTCTCTTTCGAAGGTAAATACTATAAAAAATTCTTGGTACACCAATGGGATTTACTATTTCTCCTATTATAGCTCAATACGTAATGGACGATCTTTTTGAAAACATACTTCCTAAACTGAGTTTTGAAATTTCTTTTTTAAAGAAATACGTTGACGATGTCATTCGTGCAATACCTTATGACAAATCTTATGAAATTCTTGATGTCAATAGATATGATGAAAAATTGCAATTCACTATCAAAATAGAAAATAATCAGGCCCTTCTCTTAATACAAGAGTTATCCGGAAAACTGATAATTCCTTGATCACTGATTGGTATGTCAAACCTATTAATTCAGGAAGATATATCAATTACTGTTCTTTTCATAAAAAATCAATTAAAATCAATTTAATACTGTGTTTGGTACATAATGATAATAATGAAAATTGTATCAATCAATTCTCCCTTCAGAGCCAAAGATTATCAAATCATCATGCCCATTGAAAAATGACATTTTTGTGAAGGTATGACATTGTCAAACCAAAAAATCCATTAATGTTTGACTTTCTTTCGTCGATTTATATTTTCAATTCATTGTTTTTTACTCATTTTTACTGTAACTATGATTTGTAATGTTATTCATTGGCAAAAAAAAACCACAACTCAATAAATTACAGGCCCTGAAGAAGCTTCTAGAAGCGAAAGCTTGGCAAAGTAGAGCAGAGTTTTGATTTTTTGGACTGAAAGACCCCGTTAATCCAACACTCCAAATATATCATTTCATTTAATCATTTAATATTAAATGAAATGATATATTTGGAGTGTTGTGTCCACGAATTGTTTCATTTTTGATTTTGATCATAACCACTCGATAAAATCTTTATCTATCTATCCGCTATCCGATGTAGCGTTCATAAGGGAAAAAAACTTTCTCAACAGCATATTGTCAGTCAGATAAATGCGCAACTTTGTCCCAATTTATAAATCTTCGTATCTCTTATAGTTTCCGAGATCCCAATGGTGAGAACCGAATTGGAAATACCCTGTATATAATTTTCATTTTTTCTTACACAATAGAATAAAGTGATTGATTGGTAGCCAAGTCTGATAGCTAAAGTTCCCATAACAATATTTCTGTAAACAATCGAAAACAGACAAAAATAGAATTCAGAGGTTTTTGGTTTTTCCTGTATATATTTGTAACCAAAGAACGAATGTCGATTTTTCGGTATTATTAACTATAAATCGTAAAATAGACAACTGACTGCCGTTTAATTTTCTTTTTGGTAGATAGGTAGGTGGGTCCATTGCAACCTTCAAGGGTTTATTTTGTTGTATTATTTGATAACATCCATATATGGCAAAACAAAAATGTGTAAAACTGTAGACAATAACTGTGATCATTTTGAGACTAAATACTTGCCATTATTAATTGTATTTGGAATAATATGAAATATTATGATAATGACTACATTTTCCTGTGCATTTGTATGTTCACTAGAAAAACATAAAATATTTCTCGAAAAGACTGTAAATTGCTACTCTACTATTTTTGTTTCAATAATGTTGAATATTTTTCAATTTTCATTAAGTTTTGCGGAAATTCAATACTAAAGAAATGATATAAATTCTTATTTCTACTTGTACATTAGGCTTACTATTGTTGAAATTAATTTGTTATATTTATGTATGTAAGTATATATATCAAGAGTTTGATGCCGTTTTTATTCAATCTACGTACTTACTAGTTTTTAAACTATACTAAATCACTACTTTTGGCATCACATCTTTTCTATTTTAGAAGGCTGTGTGATGTGTTATTACATGTTAATTTTATTGAATTGTTCTATGTTATTTCTATGTATTATGTTTTATTATAAATATATAACATACTGTTTCTTTTTCTTTTGAATAAAAATACAAAAAATCACTTGTAGTTGCCAAGACCAGCAGTACTTACTTGTTAATCTTCCAGACAGCTGCCTTTCAAGTCTGCATTGAAATATTAGTTTGGAGTCAGTATTTGATTATATGATAATTGATAAAATTAAATTTTGCAGCATTGATTGTTTTATTAATCTACCTATATTTAAGTGAATAAACAAAAAACCACATAAATAGTATTCAAAAACAAACTCTGTACCACTGTTAATTGTATTAGAACGATCTATAGGTATGTCTCTATAAACCTCTCTGGCGAACGTATATCATCATGTCCTAAAATATTTAAATTTTTTCTCTTATGCTTACAGCCATGACACAAAATAATTGACAAAATTGCAAATAATTATTTTTATTGATACCTACTATGGTACTGAAATCTACCACAGATGCCCACTAGTCATATCATTTTCATGGCAACTAAGGTTCTGGATCGATTCTATGTAGTTGAGCATTTAAGGTTAACAAAAGTTGGTTCCCCAAAAACTTTTAATTTATTCTACTACTAACACTTTCCTAATGTGGAATGGTAAACAATATATAATTTACTAGTAAATATTGTTTTTTTCCATTTTTTATTTTTATCAATATACTTGCTATTTTCAGCTATTCATTTTAATTTTCAGCTATAATATTCCAAGGACATTAATAAATTGTTCGGAAATTTCTCAATAAAATAATTTGATTACATCGGAATTTGATTCCGATGTAATCAACAGATATTTATTTGATAATAGTTCACCTATCAATTTTTCTTATAAATCTATACCTAATCTTGGAAATTTATCTTCAAATATCATAAAACTTTTTCATAATGAACAAAATATGCCAAAAATATATTAAAACTATAAAAAATTTGAATACCAAATTGAAAGATAAAACGGATACTACAAAAAAGTCAAATGTGATTTATAACATTCCTTGTAGTAACAATTGTAATTTGGATTATATTGGAACAACATCTAGAATTCTTAAAGATAGAATAACTTCACATAAAAGTGATATAAATCTTAATAAGAAACC